GTAGACATTTCCGCCGCAATACGTACACGATAGAAAAGAGTCATGAACAATTTTTCGAAAATGATTACGAATTGCTTCCGTGGAAATACCAAACACCATCTTGCACTGCTGACAGAAATTTTCTTCGGTAGCAGTGGATGAAGATTCTGGCGATTTTTCATCCTCGGACAAAAAACGAGGATGAGTAGCATCAACGACCACGCGTGAGCTCGGAGGTCTAGAATAGGAAACCGATTTTTTACCGACATTGCCTTCAAGTGGTTGTTTTCCATCCATATCAGTATGAGGATTTGCCATCAAATCCAGTCGTTGAAATCAAATAGTCGTTGGTCTTCTTTAATATTAGCTGAAAAATTCAAAACACAAGTAGCGTTTTCTGCGGCCTGTTTGCATGTGGTAATTTATCATCTGTTTTGAAACGCACGCCAGATCACTGCTAATGATGGTAATCTGCACTGCTGATGGCACTTCGCTGCCACTTCGCATCTTTGTACTGAATATCTCACGTCAATGGCATATCAGGCAATTGTCGTGAAGACCACGGTGAAGACATGGAACATCGAAATCAATAAAGCCAAATTGCTGCTTTTTAAGACTGTCCATGATAAAAAAAAAAAATAACCTCACCTTATCGACCTGTCAATCACCTGTATTTACCGAACACTGCCGATCACCTCCTCGGCCTCTGCTGCTGCTGTTGGTACCCATATTCTGGTGACAGATTATTATTGGGTTGGTAGGATGATACCGCGCGGGAAAGAACGAGTGGGAATGCGCGTCAAACCGGACTCCGGTAACCGGGGCTTTTCATTTTTGTGTTATGACTAGGGGCGAATTTTGATGACCTAAATATAGCTAAAATGACCTATAAAATGTTCTAAAAGCAATGAAAATGACGTATTTTTTTTATCCAAAACAGTTCAGATGATCAACTTAAATTGTTGGATATATATTACTGATGTAATCGGGAATCTTCCTTTCATTCGAGTGAACTTAGCTTGCAAACTTTTGGTTTTGACTATTATTTTCCAAAATCGGCCGAACCGATAATTGCATTGTTAGGCTTCACAGGAACCTTCCGTATGGAAGTAAATTGCAGAATCCCTCCTCAGTATTCAGATTGTTGTAATGATAAATTAATACTAGAGAGGTGCTACACAGTTCATGAGTGTGCTACACAGATCGTGGGTATACTTTCTGGGTGTAGTTAAAGTCAGTCCAAACTTTTGGTAAATTTGTTAGCAAGTGAAGAAATACAATGCAGTCAACTATACAAAACAATCTTCCTGTGAATGCTGATTTATATCATTTGACCCACTAACTAGAAGTGATACAACACTTTTTTAATTTAATTTTTAATGACATTTCTTCTTTGCTGTAGTAATTTACTTTAACCTAACCAATGAATTCACTGCGCATTTTACAAACTTTCACTGATACTTTGCCTATTACTTATGAAGCCTTCACTACGTAACCAAAGAATTACAACTGACGATGATTTCTGACAAATGAAACTGCGAGGTTCGCAGATTCACTCATTAAACTTTAATCAAATCAGTTGACTTACAAGGAAAATCTGAGTAATAGCATGAATAGCACCTCGGAAATATAGTTAGCACTGATGCGTTGAGACTCAATAATGCAGTTGATTGCTGCCCGTTGAGGTGTGGGCGTGCCCATTATTTGAATCAAGTTCTATTAAAATCGTGGAAATCTGAGGGGGGAAAACGGAAAAGAATAGAAAATGATTTTTTACTAGAAATCGACGAAAAATGCAAAAAATCCTTTCATCATTCAACAACTATCCAAATGCATTGTTCTTAAGTGAAAAAGAATGGATACATAATTAAAATATGTCCCCTAGTTATTACTCAATGACTACTGGTTGTCGTGCCGTCTTCTTGAAAATAAAAAAAATAAAAAAGAAGAAGAAGAAGAAGATGAAGAAAGAAGAAGAAGATGATGAAGATAGAAGAAGATGATGAGGAAGAAGAAGATGAAGAAGAAGAAGAAGAAAGAAGATGTCTTTTAAACATCTACAACTGAGGAGTAAATTGCAATGAGAATAAAATCTCTGGCTTAAATATTGGTGCATGACATGTTATCCTTTGATTAAAATACAAGGTCTGTTGACAGTTCGGCAAGTGTGCCCAGTCATCCAATCGGGAGCTTGAACATTCTTATAACCACAGCTGACGAACTGACAACGGACCTCGTGTTTTCATAGAATTTTAGAAAATTATTGATCTGAAAGTAATTTTTAAATTTTAGATGCAGTGGAGAAATGGTAGGGAACGGACGGAGAGAGGATGGTGTTTTCTAATAATTGTCTAATCCTATTCTGTTTTCTAAAGATTTAATTCAGTTTTATTAAATTAGTGTTCTTTTGAAAAGTTATTTAGTTTCATCCCCCATGTATCTAATATACATAGGTGTGTAATAAACATTTATTGAATAATTCAATTATTAAATTAATATTCGTAAATAAATTATTTTTTACCACAATGCTCCAACAATTCAATTTCAAATAACTGATTGTATCAAAAGAATTTTATACATTCATAAAATTATTTTCAGGTAACATTTAAAAATGTTTGGCTTTTCCTAAAGCTTTTGTAGTGAAACCTTTGACATCAGAATGTGGTAGCCATTTAGGATAATTTCTTTCAAAACCGTGACTTGGAGGGACCTAGAATGATAGTGATTTTGAAAGGAGTTTTGCTATTATATGTTTATAAATGTTGGGCAAGGACAATAATACTTAAAATTATTATATATTGTAGAATGTACGATTACTAGAGCTAGGAATTGTAAGTGCAAAATTGCTTTAATATTGCAATAATTGCTATTATAAATATTCATACAAACCAATTGCATCACATATATGGAAACAAAATTCAACCATGTATTGAAAAATCTGTCTTATGCAAGTTCTAGTATATATCACTTAAATTACCTACAAAACTGTTCAAACAAATTACATTTCAATGTTGTTTTTTTTCAATGATTCTGGACCTTTAGCCACCAAGTAAATAATGTGTAGGGAAAAGGAATGTTTAATATCAACTAATACAAGACTTGCATATTTCGTTAGCAGTTGATAATTTAAATCATTGTTGCAGAATTCTCAACATTATGGTTTTTGGCAAAGCTCAATTTAATCTTTGCTTTCCACTACCCCCTGGTGCTTCTTTCACAACCATCAGTCCATTGTGAATCTTTCTCAGAACTCCTCCAATGTTAGTGTTAGAAACAGAAACCATACTCAATAAAAAGTTAATCTTGCAACTTGAGTTTACCTTTTAGATCTTTGGCTTTTTTTTAAGCTGAAGAATCATTCGGTATAGTTTCCCAGAAATCACAGATAACCTTGAAATAGTTGCAAATAAATACTGCAGCCTTTATCCAAGTATCCCATCTAGTGAGAAATGGGGGAGTTTGAACAAGAAGTACTGTCATTTCAAATGTGTTCATTGATTAATTATCATAGGAACAAAATGTGAAAAATACGATAAAAATGTTGAAATAAAAGGTGCAAAAATGTGAAGACATTGAGAAAAGGTGCAACTGAAATAGTTAGGAGTGTTTATTTCATGTTATTTACGCAAGTCAAACTCATCTGGACATTGTAGAAAGGGGGAAAAAATTAGTACACCGCCTAAAATTCCTAGCTCTAATTAAATAATATTCTAAACAAAATTGGTATATTCAAAGTATTACTAAGTTTACTTCATTTTAATGAATTTATGTAATATGTATTAGTGACAGGTTCTGGATAAACTTGCACGAGAATGATATTTACTTGCCAATTTGCATGGGAGTAGTTTTATTTTTAATTGTCAATCTAATTCAATCACACAAAATTTTATTTTCTGCAAAGTGTGTTATGCGATAGGAAATTAAATTACAATTATTTTTTTTTTTATTTTATCAGTTGATGTCTTTGGTTTGCTACTTTTAATCATGAAATGAACATAAGATATTTTGTTTTTTGTCTTTGAGTAACTACCTCAAGTTTTCACTAGCAGATTGATGCAGGTGGTATACATGCTTACAAATTCAGCTCTCCTTAGTTAAAAGTTGCTATAGAATTCTCAACATATATTGTGAAATATGTTTCTCATTGGTAAATTGTCGAAGAGCTGGATCAATGTTATTTAGGAAATAGATGACGATTGGTGTATACATACAAATTTCTTAGGTATGAACTCCAGTAGTTTCCAGAAGCCTTTTTAACTTTCTCCTGAAAAGTATTGTATTTATTTTACATACATTCACACTTCACCATAAATATGTGAAATGTATTTAATTACAGGAGATTCACTGACTTCTCAACTAACAGTAGTTGGTACATGACCCATTAGAATCCCCCCCCAATTACAAACAAGTTTTTCCAATAAAATGTGGAAGCTTGAACAATTAATTTTAAATTTTTTCTTTGATTTGGATGTACAAAAACTATTCTTAATAATTTTGAAGGTTAATAATTTTCATAATGCAGTTCATTTGCATCAATTTTCTTGACCAAACAAAATCTAAAAAATACTGCCACATAATCTAGTTGTTACAATCCAAACCCACTTTTAATGCTTCAAGGTATCATGATATATCATAGATACAGGTTCAGGCCCATTTTCATATGATTTGAATTGGGAAAGAATGCAAGAGAAATGAAAGTTGTGAGAATAAACAATTAAATGCTTTACTGCAGTAAACAAATGGTATGTGTTTAGCAATGAATTGGTATAATGCAGTTGGAGACGCATACAGAAGAAAACTGGTTTTATCATTAAGAAAACTTCATGAAGTAGCTTACAATGCAATGGCCATTATTCTACTAAATGAACGCATGTAATTCTTGATTTTCATACAGTAGATCTGCTATTGTCCGATCTACATTATGAAAAGGGTCATTAAAGGTAGTCCATGAAATAAAAATGACATTGGTAAAAACCAATACTAATCTTCCTTGCGTTTCAGCATTCTTTTTTCTTTCTTTTCTATTTTTTTACTTTCTCTTCTTCAATCTCCTTTGCCATACAGACAGATTTTGAATCTATAAACTCATCATGAGTTGAGTCCCTCAAAACATTACTTTCATCCAAATAAACTAGGTCGGCTAAGTAGAATAAAAGCTGAACAAAGTCAACAAAATTAAACAGCAGGGTAATTCAAAATTCACTGTATTTCACTACATCGACCGATTTCAAGAAATGTCAGAAGTTTCCCAGATTTCATGCATTTTTTCACAAATTTTCTGCAGTCTAAGGTCAATAATATGCACTTCCTTTCAACTGCCTTTTCAAATGCTGAAAGGTTGGTTTCCTTATCTAATGGTTCTCTTATGAAAACTAATGCCTTACAGAAAGCTGATATAAATTGTGTGAACAATTATTTATTTTAGCCATTTATAAAATTTGTTTAGCCTATAAACAAATTGAATATCTAATTTTTTTTCCCCCACATAGAACAAAAGCTTTCACAGCCAGTATTAGTAATTAATTTTTTTACTGGGCTGATAAGCAAAGATCCACCAAAGTCCTACTTCCAGATGTTTCACCTCTGATCTCTGTGAATGTTGAATCACTGTCAGCCAGAAGCACACCAGATAGGATCTGCAACCATTACCCCACTGCCACAGTTGCAGATGAAACATCACTAAATATGAATTTAGGTGAACCATAGTGTCAGCTCAGTAAACAATTTAATCACTAAACTTACATTAAAAACAGATTTCTAGTTATTCTTTGAATTCTTATCACCAAAGGTCATTTTAAAATTTAAGAATAAATTAATATTGAAGAAAACAATACAGATACATTAGTATTTGATTTATATACTTGAAATTGCTTGAAGGAATAGATTGCAATCTGAGCATTTTGCCACAATTTTAGTTAAAAAAAAAATATTTAGGAGCAAAATTATTAAAGTGATTTCGTCTAAAAAAATTTTCTTTCAATGCAGACGTAAAAACAAAATAACATTAACTTTACTTCATCGGAGAATATTGCAGGAAGGGTGGAAATGGCAGCAATTCACTCACATGTATTGCCTGGCATAAAAATGTGGTCGCTATTTTGTGGTGACTGCATGTAAGGTTGTGAAATGTTGATCACCAAAGCTAAAAACCCTCATAATTTACACGATATGCACAAGAAATGCAAGTCAATTCACTTTTACAGGGGTTATAAAGGCTAGGAATAGCATCTTTGATTAAATAAATTTCTCTTTCAGTATCCTACACAAACTTAACATAAATGTAACTTGAAATTAACTTCTCCCCACAGCATGTCACACACAGTTTTTAATGAAAATAAATAAACGGCCAACTATATAGTTAACACTAAGCTAGTTAACCTGAAGGTAACAACAAAAGAAAAATTGGTAATAAATACAAAAATAATAAACCAAATGACAAAGGTATATTTTGAGGAAATACCACACATTACATGAAAACTTGTTTTAATTACAGTTGCAAAAGGCAATACACAATAAACACATTCACATTAATAACTTGTGAAGACAAACTGACTACAAAAATGTTTAGATTGGCTTAATTTTAAAATGAAGACCAATGAGAGAAAACACTAGGCACTTCAAGTCCTGTACTAAGTAGTAAAAACACCGCAATCCTTCCGGATCTCTTGACTGGTTCACATCAACAAGAGAGCCGGTTTTTGATGTAGTGAATGAAATATGCTCGTCCCCGATAACTATCTCCAGTTCCTGTCTGCCGACACGATCAGGCTGCGGCCACAAGGAATCATCTTCTTGCATAATTTCAGAATCGTGAATTATCCGCTTCAGTTCTTCCATAACACAGTGATGAACATACGCCTCTTTACGGATCATGGTATCATTCTTGTAATTGGAGTTATTCGCGTAACGCAGTTTGCCATCTGGTCGAAATTCAAATTCTAAAAATTCGTGGCCGAATTTCCCCTTATGGCCTACGTAGTAACGTATGTAAAAATCTGTGGACGACATTATTCACATAAAACTTGCAATCAAAAGAAAAACCCAACCACCAGGCATAAACGGAACGCAACCAGATGTAGATGGAAAGCGTACCAAAGAGAAAACGTCGTTGATCCTTTTGATGCTCTGTGGTTGAAATTATCTTCGATAAAATTCGATATTAAATACTTGTGCCATAGAGTAATAATATGTACCTTCGTAGTCTATGCTTGTGCTATGTGGGAAATACTACTTGGGGCGTTTCTATCGCCAAATTAAACTCGAAGACAAGTGTGGCATCCACGACCGCCGCCTCGAGACACTCATCTTGAATCACATTTTATAATTATGTTAATTTTAACATAGTAGATTTGAAACAAATTTTACAAGTATAGAATTATATTAATAAATAATTTTCAATGTCGCATGTATGTTTTAGGTGAATATCACCTGAGTAAATTTTTGCTCAATTCAATATGAATCACGTCACGCCACGTACTATAAAAAATACAATTTTTTTTTAAATACAAAGAAATGGTAACTTGGTTTTACCCCTTCCTTAAAAATCATTTTCATTTAATATATTTTAACAAGTGCTTTATTTCCCGGGAAGGTGGAGAGGGTGGCTCTTCTTTCTTTTGTATAGGAAGGAACATTCCAATATATTCCCAATATTTGCGATTAATTTTTTGTAATGGATGCTTTATAATATTGTCATATTATTTACAACATCGTTATGCATTTTACTTTTGAATTAATAGAAGTGTACATTTTCAATTGCAAAGTATGTTTACTTCAGAGTTATCTTAGTTTGCTACAAGTTCAGCCCGAGTTTAACCATCGGAAATTAATTGAAAGGAATTAGTTCAAGAAATGTAACGGTGACACTTTGCTTGTGCGTACTTTCTCGAATCCTAGATAGTAATGGTTTGTGGCGCCTGCTGGAACCTAATGAATGATGTGAAGGAGCAGTGATGAGGAAGGGGGGGGGGGGGGCAACTGGGACAACTTTTTTTCTTCATGATCCGAATTAATTGGCCCGGAATATTTTCAAAACATGGGAAACATTTACTTCAAATTAACTGCTGTAAGTTTTTTATGTTGCGCAGAGGGATGAATTACGTTTAGAGGAAGGATTTTTCTGCTTGAAATTAGGTGCCTCCATTTATACATCCACGTGCCTCGTGTTTTCTGGGCGCCCCCTGCTGACGTGTTTACCGATTCGTAGAAAATTCACAGGACAATGTATCACGTTCAAAGCGTAGGCCGAGTGCATTGGTAAGTGATTTCCATATTTTCATGGTTTCCCTGATCACTTCCAGAGAATGCCCGAATGATCGATTGATTAGTTTCGGTCACATCAACAGTCAGCGCGTCAACGGCTCATTAGTCCCGTACGTGTAGTGCGTGTTTTTATCGCGGGTGGTAATCTCCTCTGGCTGGAAGGCGAGATCTGGCGTCGACCTTCGAGGCTTACAGGGTCTTCTCCAGTCAGGTTTCTCGCACTAGCGGGGCACCCCCCCCCTCCCATCTGGGGCAAACTCTAAGCTCCCGACATGTGTAGGGCATGTAAGTGTAAGTGTGTGCAAGGGCTGACGATAGGACAAGGACGAGGAAGGAAAGATCGCGCGCGGTCGATGGCCCGTTTGTTGGTACTGCTCCGGCATTCAACTGGTGTTGATGGAAAAAGCCATAGAAAACTGCGAACATAGCAGCCGGCCGGTAAACTTCTCTTCCAGGCAGCGGCTGAATTCGACCAAGCCATCTAGCCTAGCGTGGAGCGCCGAGGGGGGGAGGGGGTCAGGGGGAGGAGTTCGGCACATCCTATCATTGCCGGGAAACACCAGCAGAGGGATGGTCTTGCGGCTCCTACAATATATATATATATATATATATATATAATATATATATATATATATATATATATATATATATATATATATATATATATATATATATATATATTATCGCAGAGGATTGAGTCAATAGGGTCTAGGCAGTGAGGAAGCCTGCACCAAATGTCCAGGCGAAACGGTCGGCACCCCGCCAACGACGCGGGCGTTCCCGGATAGCCGAGAATTTATGGAATCGAGGCCGCGGAAGTTTACGTGTACTTCTCACCTAGATGGCTAATAATATTTTGGATGTAGTTTACGTACTAGGGAATAGGCCCCATTTAACTTGTGGGTTGATTTCGCCAAACTAACAGAACTACACAGTGTATTTTTATAAGCACGAACAACGAATTACGCGAGCGGAATGACCGCGCGTAACTCAAGGTATACGTAATATTTATATGGCATTGCCTTCAGGCACATCTTAACGCACTGGGTCCGAAGGGCCCAATTGTTCTTACAAATGCAGACTAAACTTTTTCAAAAATAAAATATTAAAAACGTATAAACTGTTATATATGATTAAACTACTAAAACAATTTGGCAAAACATAGTGATGTGTCAGAATCATACAATATTATGGTGACCATCGCCCTGCCTTTAGGGAAGACAAGTCTTTTACCTCAAGGACTTCTTTTTTATAAGTTCTGTCCTTCCTCGATAAGTGTCCCTAACTTCCGTTTCTTTATATTTTAAAACTTATGTGTGGTAATCTAGTTTAGTTAAGAGAGAAATCAAGCGATTGAATGTTGATTCTATAGCTCCAGCATACTTACCGCCGTAAAATCCAATATGAAGGACAATTGTTTTTAATATACTATCCAATATTTTTTGATTTCTTGCTCGCAAAATTCCCCAAATATAATTGTTAAAAAATTGTATGTTGAATAAAACTATTAATTCAATAGAAATATACTCGTTTAATTAATAATTAAAAGAGAATGTAAGCATAATTAGTGTAGTTTGTATATTAAATAACTTTCATTGTTGTTCATGCGTTTTCATTTCATTTCTCTATGTTGTCCTTTTTTCATACATTTTCGTTTCCTTTCATTGTAAAAACAATTGAATCCACTGAATATTATGGAACGGTGATGGTTGAATGCTGAGAATGTCACTCACGAATAAGAAATTTAGTTGTCTTCCCCACTTTTTTTAAAGCAAAACTTGTCTTTAAATTGGGAGGAGGTGATCGTGAATTCGAGTAGAGGCTGCAACAAAATACGTTGGCGGCGCAGTGACGCGTCGCTAATGCGTGCCCACTTTCATAAGGCTCATTCCTCTTTCACCTACGGAATTAACGTAAAAGTAACTCGAGTCTTGTCCAACGTGTTAATGAAATTGACTTATGTTGAGCCACGTCGATTGTGGCGCCACTAAGCAACTCCTCCGGTCTCCTCATATTCAATTAAACTCTTCCAATTCATTACCCGAACCAATGAATAGGCGGATGAATGAATAGGTGTTGTTAATGGGTATGAGCTGGGTATAAAGTACACTTTCATTGTTTTCACGGTTCACATGTGAATAGCACCCATGGCATTCTCTAACTGTAGACATAGCCCTACTCAGAAATTCTCTATACAGAGAAGATAATGGGCTTAATCAGTAGTGTAGGCCATGATAGAGATATCCAGAACACGTTGAGTTTTAGGTCGTTCGGAGGACAGCACCGTCCCCTCCTTGGTGTCAAGCTGCTATAAGCCGTGGAATTAATGGATAAAACACGACAAAAGTGTCGATTTCTTTTAAAACGTCGTGAATCATTTCTCGTTGGTTTTCTCTTTCGTCTAATTGGTTTTAAAACGTTTTCTTGTTTGTTTGGGTACACTTTCTCGTGTCAGATGGTTATTTTTTGTCAAAATAAAGTTGTATTTTCCAAACGATAAATCAGTTGTATGCCGATTAAGACTGGGGCGAAAGGGGCCAGGAAGAGACAGCATAAGCCTTTTTTAGATGCCTTACTGTTTCCAAAAATCAGGAAATGTAAAATTATAGCACCCTTAAAAAAAGAGGACAAAAGTAGATTATGCTTGAAGCAAGAAGTTAGGATGGTTCTTTCAAGTGCAATAGTAGGTTACTGATTCCGTCCATCTCGTAATTCGCAATTTTCACTCTTTAAGATTTTCCTATCCTCATTGTCAGATGTTTTTCCATGTGAAAACGTATATATTTCCATATTTTTTTAATAATATAAACAACCCACTACAGGACATAGTTCTCAATAAATAGTCTCCCATTTACTTGCATTGTTCTGAACGTGTTGTACAACAAGCGTCATAATATGTAATGAGCCAGCTAAAAATGTTTGTGGATCTTAAGACTTTAATTCCGGCCAAAAGTTAAAGCCATTTCTCCTTCAAGACTTCATTGGGGTATAAAAGCTAAGTCCAGCATTATAAAGCAGTACTAAAAGTCATATAAAATTACTTCGAATGTTTTTTCAAAAAGAACAAGGTATCGACTTTGAATAAGTGTTGATTAAAGAATGCGCTTTTTTAATCACTTTGTTCGAAGCAGAATTCACGAGGCCAGAACCTAAATAAAGCCGAAAGAAAGATAATATGATTGTACATAAGCATAATGTGATAAGAACACACGCATTTCGGCAACGCTGAATAATCTAGCAAAATTATATTTTTAATAATTCTCTAAGGAAATCGCTTACGCTCATTGGCACGAGCTTGCCACCAACACTTCCCGCGCAAACATTTGTTGACGGTTCATTCTGGATGTCTCCATGAACCATTTATAACAATTGTTAGGTTGGCCGACAGAATTCATCAATTGAAGTACGAAATGCCGCTGCATAGGTTTTCCCCATAGTAAGGTACCTTCAGTCATTATTTATTTTCTATTTTTGATAAAAATACAGTAACAAAAACAAAAAAACTTCAAAAAAAATGTAATTTTTTATGAGCAGGTTACAGAATAAAATTGAGACGCTATAAGTATTTTCAGGCACGTATGCCACGGGTCAGGGGAAATTCCCCCCCTGCATTTTTTCATGTATGCATAATTGTTAACTTGTCACGAAATTTTCAAAAGCAAAAGTACAATTTCGGACAAACATGAAAAGAATACAAGTAGCAGCATGAGCTGAGTGTAGCCATTATATTTACAAAATTGGTAATG